TGATAAGGTATAAAGCAGTGGGGGAAGTGTGGCGGCTGCTATACCCTGCACTGTTCTGAAATTGTGGTAAAATGAGATTTAAATGAACAGGGTACAGAATAGAGCCTGAAACTACTTTTTCTTTTACAGCAAATGGTCAGTGAAAAAGGGGCTTAAGCTTGAGAAACCTCAGTGAAAAACTACTTTTTCTTTTACAGCAAATGGTCAGTGAAAAAGGGGCTTAAGCTTGAGAAACCTCAGTGACTCATACAAATTATAAGCTATAAATATCTAATCAGCCAATCACATGGCAGCAACTCAATCCATTTAGGCATGTAGACACGGTGAAGTCCAAACTCAGCATCAGAATGGGGAAGAAAGATGATTTAATTGACTTTAATGTGGCATGGCTATTGGTGGCAGACAGGCTATTCTGAGTATTTCATTAACTTCTGATCTACGGGGACTTTCACGCACAACCATCACTAAGGGTTACAGAGAATAGTCAGAAAAAGAGAAAATATCCAGTATGAATAGCGGTTCTGTGGGGAAAACAGCCTTGTTGATGCCAAAGGTCAGAGGGGAAAGGCCAGACTGTTGGTGGAAGATCATTTTCCTATTTAGTGCCCAAACTCTGGAACAATCTACCTAGCGTTGTTCGGGAGGCAGACACACTCTGTCAGTTTAAATAGATTAAAGACCCATCTCTTTAACCTGGCATACACATAATACACCATCGCATTTCTATAATTCATATCCGTTAAAGGATTGTTAGGCTGCATTAATAAGGTCAACGGGAACTGGGAACTCTTCCCAAAACACCCGATGTACTTGCTACATTGTAAGAAGAATGGCATATTATTCCGAGGTCACCGTAGTCATACGGATCCAGTCTGTATCCAGATCAGATGGTCACCGTAGCCACCCAGATCCAGTCCATACCCAGACCAGATGGTGGATCAGCACCTAGAAACGACCTCTACAGCCCTAAATGTCAGCGAAGACCAAGTCAACTAGATGTGCCCCAGACAGATACCCTGCGAAGACCTTGTGGGCCATTGGCAGAAGACCACGACTTCCTGTTTGTTGCTGCCGTGTGGTTTGAGTTTGAGCTCCGTCAAGTTAATTCTTTGTCATCTAATTTTTTATCTTAAAATCAATTTTATACACCATCCTTTTTCAGTTTTATAACGTGTGAATATATCCCCTATCGTATTCTACAACAAAAACAATCAGAGCGCTTTGTTAGCACTAGTTCTATTTTTGACTTCCGAGTCCGCTATTAGCATATAGCCCGCTAGCATCGCCAGCGTGGTTGCCGCTAATCTCGCTTACACTAATACTCTATTCACACACATTTCCATTGTTTTACTCACTGTTACTTGCTTTAATGGCGGATGTGTGTCGACCTTTGAGTGCAGGTGAGGACACGGCCCGAGCTGGAGAAGCAGATCCGGGACCTGGTGGCAAAGCAGACCCAGCTGAGGTCGGCTCATGGCCGCAACAAATAAAGGAACCATCCACCAAAATCTCAAAATAACAAGTTTATTACATAATTCTAGGGGGTTCACATAATATACCATGACATTTCATGGCAATTGAAAAGTCAGAGAATATGGCAAAACGACAGATCCTGTCAAGCGAGGCAATCCAACACCAGGTGGAGATGATGTCACTTCTCCACACGCCCGCCCTATGCCGGTAACCGGAATACTTATATCTCCCGCTTCCTAATTGATTCAGGTGATTCTCATCTCTCCTGATACCTACAAGAGAACAAAAATAAATTAATTAATTAATCAACACCCTTACACCATAACAACGGGAACCAGACAAGTCCTCTGCACAATCTGACCTGTGTTGCAACCTGGAATTAAACGACACCATGCTGGTTTCTTCTGGCCAGAGGAGAACTGGCCCCCCGACTGTGCCTGGTTTCTCCCAAGGTTTTTTCTCCATATCGGTCACCGATGGAATTTGCGTTCCTTGCCACTGTCGCCTTTGGCTTGCTTAGTTGGGGATGCTTGATTAATTGCACAGACACTATTGAAAGAGAATTGAACTGGATGATGACACCAATGAATCATCAATGAACTGACTTTAGCTGGAAAAATGGCTCTTTGTTATTGACCTCTTGCATAATTGACAAACTATTTTTTCTGTTTGACATTGTAAAGCTGCTTTGACACAATCAGTATTGTATAAATAAAGGTGACTTGACTTGACTTGGTCCACCACGGACTTTACCGGCCATGGCCGTCGTTGTCCCTGTGCTTCAAATCTGGTGGTCCCAAGTCCAGTGGTCCTGGAGGTCATTCCACTGTCCATAGTGCTTCTGGTAATGGCCAATAATAACCTGGGCTGCACACATTTTTCCAGAGGCAGCAGAGTCCCCTACAACACTGCTTTCTTGAGTTGTTTTGCTCAAACTCAATTGCTCTAAATCTGCATTAACCATAGCCAATGAGGATTTCACTTGATTAGCTGGGAGACTAGTTGTATTGCCCACTCTAGTGGATTACTAAAGATTTGTTAGCAAAATCTTGTATGCTTGGATGAGTGTATGCTTCTGATTTTACAGCTGCTCACGCCCCCTTTGACGGGTGCTGGCGCCCCATAGGTTGAAAACTCTAGCTCCATGTCACTGCGATGGAGGCTGTCCATGAACTTCCTGTGCTCCCTGTCACAGCCACGGAGGCTGTCCACACCTGCTTAGTCATGCCTGTTCTGTCACGGCCACGGTGGTTGACAATACCTGCTCTGTCATGGCCACTGAGGTTGTCAATAACTGCTTAGTCACAGCCACGGAGGCCATCCACACCTTCTCCTTCATGGCCAAGCAGGTTGTCAACACCTGCTTAGTCATGCCTGTTCTGTCACGGCCACGGTGGTTGACAATACCTGCTCTGTCATGGCCACTGAGGTTGTCAATACCCTGTCACAGCCACAGAGACCATCCACGCCTTCTCTGTCAAGGCTGAGCAGGTTGTCAACACCTGCTTAGCCAAGCCTTTTCTGTCATGGCCACGAAGGTTGTCAATACCTGTTCTGTCACGGCCACGGAGGTTGTCAATACCTGCTCTGTCACGGCCACTGAGGTTGTCAATAACTGCTTAGTCACAGCCACGGAGGCCATCCACACCTTCTCCTTCATGGCCAAGCAGGTTGTCAACACCTGCTTAGTCATGCCTGTTCTGTCACGGCCACGGTGGTTGACAATACCTGCTCTGTCATGGCCACTGAGGTTGTCAATACCCTGTCACAGCCACAGAGACCATCCACGCCTTCTCTGTCAAGGCTGAGCAGGTTGTCAACACCTGCTTAGCCACGGCTACGGAGGCCATCCATGCCTGCGGTCCACGTTTCTGCTCCACCAACTCAGACCACTATCACTCTACCTCTGTGGTCTTCTGCTCCGCCATGACGTCCTGTTCTGTTGTTTCTGTCTCCATCTCTGCTGACTCTACCATGGCCACCTGATCCTTTATGGTCTTGTCCTCTGCTACACACTCGAGGCCTGAAATCATGCCATGATCCAGACTTGCTTCCGCTGCATGGCCCATGTCCACCACCATGCCATGATCATTGTTTTTGTCAACACATGTTTAACCTTGATATAAACCTAAGGGGGTCATATACATTATTAGCTATAAATATTTCATATTTAATATAAAGTATATATATATATTTCATATATTTATATTTCTTATAAAATCTATAAATATTTAACAGCATTTGATACAAAATAATAATAATAACAAAATTAATACAAAATATATATTTGGTATATTTAACCAAAATATTATTATTATTATTAATAAATATTAAACTCTAATACTACTATACACAATATTACTAATTATTATGCTAACTTATTTTCTATTTCAAATAACTTTCTATTAATTTTATAGAAGAAGGTTTGCAATTTTTTAACCCCATTACAAACATTTGTGACACATCAAATACAGTTTAAAACCAACCAACCTAATAAATAAATAAATAAATTAATTAATTACTTGAATGAACTTAATAAAAATCATTACAAAAACTATGCCAAATACTGGGAACAGGCTAAATTAAGCTTTAGGCTAAATATTGAGTGGTTTGGTAGCTAATTTGGGACCAAATGTTGATATATGCTGATAGATACATTTATATTTCCCAATATTTGTTTGATCATTTTTACTTATGATAAATGGTAATAGGGTTGAATGGTTGATTGCAGTCAACGTTTGCAGAGACAAATGCAAGGCAAGTTTTTATACTAGGTTCATTTTCTTAGATAATGATCATATCTATTAGTTCTCATAACAAAACATATGGGATTTTGCCTCTAAATCTTTATCTGCCTCTTGTTTCCTCTCTCCTACTGTATGCTCATTTTTAAGGTGCCCTCCCGACTTTTGAAAGATGTGCAAGTAAATCCCTCTTTCAGACTGAAACTTTTGATTTTATTGTTATTTTATTCAGCGTGAAATACATCTTGTGTTTCTTCAGACAGAGTCAGGGTCAAACACTTTCAGTGTTTACTGAACATTGATTGTCCTGTGTTAAAGTTTCATGTGCTGGTAGAACTTGTATTTGTGACATTCAAACAAGGTAGTGGAAAATTACAGTACAGCTGTTTGCCATTGGCATACTATGTAAACTGTTTGTGTCACAAGTTAACATTTTCCATAAGTAAAGAGACCTTTTGGTTTGTATTTCAGTTTTTATTGCACACTTTTCTCTCTTTTTTAGCTTGTGAATTATGAACGCTTAAACAAAGGGAATACATTGAGGTTTCTGTTTGAAAATATTTAGCCATCCCTTTCTTAACCCCTCTGTTTTAACCCTTTAACAGTCCTCTCAGCCATTTGGTAGATCACATTTTGAGCCATGATAGTAAGCAAAATAATTTTGGTTTGCTGGTTTAAATTTGCAGATTTGATTGTGTTCTGCGGAGACTGTCTATTGTGACTCAGAGCTGTAGAGAGAGAGAGAGTTGTGACAACTCCGTTCACTCCAATGGACCAGTTTTATACAGCAATGGCGGATCGTGGAGCCGCTCAATAGCTCCCGGAAGTTAGCGCTCATACTATCAGCGCCGTAGAGATGCAGCAGAAGAGACCGCTGTGATGAACTTTTGAAAGGTATGACATTTATAGAACAAAATAGTATATTATCAGCACAGCTAATCAAATTACCCTGTGCATTAAAACAGATGATTATTAGATTATTCCTCACTTAATTAGTAGATTTACGGGATGTTATTCATTCTCTTCATGCAGTTTCATCCATCGTTGTGTAATTTAAAAGTGATTTTGCTGGTGGGGAGTTATTAAATAGACCTAATAAGCATGTGTCCCATGCAGATGGACTAAAGTGAGAATGAAACGTTTAGTGTAGGTGAGCAGTTTTCATTTCAGAATCATGCTAGGCTAAATGTCCAAAAATGGATTATATACCACTACTATATTATAGAAGTAATTACAGTAAACCTGTACATTATTACTGTATTTTATACTTCAACGTCTTAGCTACTAAAGAAGCACTGTGTTGAAGGAGCAGATGCCACAGGACTGCAATGTGATGGAGCATCACTTAACCATTTCTCCTGTGTTTGTCTCCTTCGCTGTCTTGCTTTCAGAACAAGAACCACCTGAAGACTCCCTGTAAAGAGACATCACCCTCACAATGAGTCTCTTCACTGGTTTTGGCAAGTCTTTCCCTGCTCTTTGTGAAAAAGTGCCAGTTCCCTAGTATGATTCCATCACATTTTGTTGGTGTAATCTATATAGATTGCTCCTGCTGACTATATCCAGCCTCTTACGAGGACTTCAGATGACCCAACACCTGTGAAGAGATGACGCCAACCCTTGAGAGGACTTCAGATGAAGCGGACTCTGAATAAACATACAAAACTGCTACATTTTCCTTGCATTGTAATCAACATGATAACATCATGTAACCATTGCTTTAATTTGTTAATTGTTTCTGTATACATTTAACTGTTTCTGAATACATGACGTTACTTAACTGCATGATTTGTATAGCCTAATTTTAGAACATTTCTACCATTACTTTGGCACAGTTACTCTTATTCGTAATGTAGAAACATTCATTTTCTGTAGAGCTGCTTTGAAACAATGTGTATATTAAAAAGTGCTATACAAATAAATGTGAATTGAACAAAACTTGATGCATCATTTTTTTTCTCTTCTCCAGATCAGTAGGGAAACCATACATTCACACTCCTTTCTGTGAGTGACTGGAGCACTCCCATGCAGCACAGCAAACTATTGTGGAGACTGTTCAAGGACATGTTTTATAGTTTATTATACATGTATAAATCGATTGCTGTAAATAAGTGCATAACAAAAGTCAACATACATAAAAATATATGATTAAATGTGTAAAAATGTTTTAAGTTGTTTTAAATTGGAATATACTATTATATTTTGGACTTCCGTTGACGCAACTCTCTCTTTCCATGGCTCTGTTGTGACTTATAAATTTGCCAAACTACTAAATTAAAATTTAAATTATTTTACAACTATGATAAATAATAATACAAATTATTATAATTCTCAATTTTCATTTTTCCGTTTTGCACCATTATACAGACAAGCATTTCTTTTTTTCTTTCACCTATTTTTATTATTTAAAAAAAAAATCTGGATGTGCCCATTAAACGCTTAAGTGTGATTTGTTTTGTTCTGAGACAGTTCAATAACATTATGTTCATCAAGGACAAAGACATATATCAATAGAAAATTGATAGGTTACATGCTGATTGGTAAAACACAGGGAGAGATAAAAAGACAGCAAAAGAGACTAAAAGGAACCAGGGTTTGCAGTAAAAGGACCACCAGATGCTCAGTGTCTACCGCACCCTGGCGTGACTGAAAATAAATGTTCAAAAACAGAGCGGGGTATATAAAAACATGTTCATTAGTCTCTCCCACAGTTCTCCGGTAACAGTAACAGCTCCACTGAGACTTATACAGGACATTCATTTAATGCTTTTACAAACATTATACAGACTTATTCATGAACGCCCCATTCTGAGAAATAAAAACTAAACACAAAAAATACTAGTGAAATATTTGGTATAGATTAAGACGTCATTGTGTTGTTTATGACCATAATATTTCTTTCTTGACTCTTTAACAATGTAAGGCGCATTCATGTGTAGGAACTTACATACGGTGTTGGGAAGGTTACTTTGGAAATGTAATAGGTTACAGATTACAAGTTACCCTATTTAAAATGTAATAGTAGTGTAACTTTTTCAATTACTTTATTAAAGTTTACTTTTGATTACTTTTTTAAATTTCTAATGAATGTTTATTTGCAACTGTTAATCATTTTCAAACATTTACACCATGCAGGGTTAACCTTACAGTAGTGCTCAACACTGTCAGACTTTCAAAATCCTTCCTCACTTGAATTAAGATGATCAAATTTGAACACATCCACCACAAAATCAGACTTTAGTACCGCCTTTTACTTTGAGATTGATCTGAAGTTCAATGCAGATTTAAATCATAAGAAATAGTTTACTGATACTGTTTTTGAAACCGAATCTTTGCATAACTACAGGAAACACTGCATCTAACAATGGTTTGGGGAAAAAAAGTTAATAATAAAAAAAATAAATAAAAGCATATACATCAACTCAAATACGGTTATCTAATAAGCATGTGTCCCATTCTGTGTACTAAACTCCTGAAACATTGGTGTCTCTTTGTATATGATATGACGATAGTTTTCTCAAAATAAGTAAAATTCTCATGAAGTGACTCAGAGCAGTTCTATAGATTATGTTTATGTGTTCATGTACTCATTTTGAGGCAGCAGAGGCTGCAAACACTGTGAGCTTCAGTAGGCCTATGTGTAGTAAATGAAGACAGCTGACGTGCTATGATTTCTGACAGGCAGTTCACTCTCCTGTGATGTGACCCTGTTCCCCTCACACAATAAATACAATATTAACGATGTTTTAAAAAAATGTTCAATAGAGTACCGGTAATATGCAATGATGATGATAAAAAAGTGAAAAGTGATTCTTTTAAATACTAAAAGCGGGAGGGGGCCAAGATGGCGTCCTTCTAGTCAGACATGCTTTTTCTCTGTCCTTGACAGACGTGGAGTTTGCAGCTGGAAATTACGTCCCAGCTTTTCTTTTCTTTTCTTTTCTTTTATTTAATATGAAGATACCCCTTACATCTTAATGGTATTGAAGAAATAAACATTTTGGATGGGCAAAAGGAGAAGTAGGAAACACTCCTCTCCTCACAACGCTGATGCTAACGAGATGGAACTTGCCCGTGAGTCTGTTATGGAGCCCCCTTGCCTGGCCGATTTTCCTAGTCTGCCTGAAACACCAAAAAAAACAGATTCTCCGGCTAAAAAAAGGAATCGAGTCTGTGCGAAACCTGATTCCGAGAATACTTCGGAAGTACTTGAAGCTATCCATGCACTTGGCTTGAAACTCGACCAAACGCATTTAAAGGTTTCAGCTATTGAGAAAACTACAGAGCTCACTTTGGCCAAGGTGGACAGTTTAGCAACTTCTGTGCAACAGCTCATCGTCGAAGTTAACTCTCACGACGAACGGTTATCCCTAATGGAAAAAGAAATGCAAGCTCTAAAGGCTGAAAACACGACTTTGAAGTCTAATATAGCAGAGGTTAAAGGAGACGTTCTGAACTTTGTTAAGTGCGAGAACGGAAGATGGGTTATTCTAACAGTGAAATTAGACAATACTACATTTATTCTTTGTAATATTTATGGTCATAACTCCAATCCGTTGAATAAGTCCTTATTTGTAAAGGTTTCTGATATTATTCAATGCAAATTTGATGCATTCCAAGCTTCATATGTTATATTTTCAGGCGATTTTAATGAATGCGTGGATAATTTGAGTGATAGACATCCTCCTCGTTCTTCTCAACGTGACGCACAATCAAACTTAGCATCTCTATGTGCCAACTTATCACTTACTGATACTTGGCGATTCTACAACCCTGGGATATCAGAATATACATGGTCTAACAAAGACAAATCTTTGCAATCTAGAATTGACATGTTCTTTATTTCTACCTCGGCTTTGCAATATGTCAAGGAAATTGTTCATAATTATGCCCCTTTAACTGATCATAAGCTTATTTCTTTAACGCTTAGAGGTACAAAAGAGAACTCTAGTCTTAGAGGGTACTGGAAATTTAATAATAATCTTCTTAAGGATGAGTACTTTAACAACAGTGTTAAAAAAATTGCCAATGGTATTTTAGGAGGTGTAAAGGAAGGATTTAAAAGTAAATGGGAATTTTTCAAAGATAACGTCAGAAAGATTGCAGTTAAACGTAGTAAAGAATTAAAAAAAATCAATAGACAAAATGAGTTAGAATTAATTGATAAATTAGGGATATTGGAACAGAAGCAAAATCTTACTAAGGAGGAAGAAGCTGAATTGGTCACAATTCAATCCCATCTAGACTTGATCTATTTAGACTTGGCTAAATGTGCTTTTATTCGTTCTAGGGAAAAATGGCTTGAAGAGGGTGAAAAAAATACAAGTTATTTTTTCGCACTTGAGAAAAGAAATTTTAAAAGAAATGCTTTAACTGCTTTAAACATTAATGGGAATCAAACAAATTTCTGACTTTGTTTACTCTTTTTATAAAGAACTATATAATTCCAAATTTGAAAGAATAAAGAATTTCATGACTTCTGTAAATCCAATATAACTTCTTCTGAGATCAAAGATGCCCTGATTAGAATGAAAAAAGGGAAAGCACCAGGAATAGATGGGTTGACAGTAGAATTGGACTTACATTTTTGGGAACTGATCGAAATTCCTCTTTATAATATGTATTATGAATGTATAAACAGTAGCGAAATGACTACTACTATGAAACAAGGTGTCATTTCGTTAATTGCCAAACCTGATAAAGATTCACACTTGATAGAAAATTGGAGACCAATCTCTCGTCTAACAATTGATTATAAATGAATTACTTTAGTATTTGCTAATAGATTACGAGAAGGTTTTAAATAAAATTATTAGTGAATACCAATAAGGTTTTTTAAAAGGTCGACACATAACTAACAATATTAGACTTGTGCTTGACCTTTTGGATTATGCTGAGAATGTTGATGAAGGAGCCGTTATTTTCTTTCTGGACTTTTATAAAGCGTTCGATACAATTGAACATGAATTCTTATTTAAAACTATAACGCTTTTTGGATTCGGAAATACATTTTTTAATGTAGTTAAAATGTTTTACAATAATATTAATAGTTCTGTAATACTTAACACTTCCACCTCTAAAAGATTTAACATTAACCGTGGAGTACGTCAAGGTTGTCCAATTTCCCCCTTTTTATTTTTGTTGGTAGTTGAATTATTATCCATTGGGATTGTTAATAATGAACAAATTCAAGGTCTCCAAATTTTTGGTAATGAAATTAAAATATCACAATTGGCGGATGACACAACCTTATTTTTAAAGAGCTTATCTTTTATTCTCAATGCTATCTCCTTCATCAATATTTTCTCTAAGGCTTCTGGCTTAACTCTAAATTTATCCAAATGTGAAATCCTCCCTTTACACAATTTAAATGATTTAAGTTATTGATAATATTCCAGTGAAACCCTCTGTCAAATACCTAGGAATTCTTGTAACAAAGGATGTTACAGAAAGACAAAACTTAAATTTCTCCTCTAGATTAAAAAAGACAAAAGCGTTATTAAACTGTTGGTTACAACGTGATCTCTCTGTTTAT